GGTTATATGTAATATAAACTCCCATTATATATCCAATTAAATCATTTGTTTTAACCAACCTATAAGGTTATAATTCCACTAGACTTGGATAAAACTTTGTGAAACTCTAGCAACTAATCATGATCACCAAAGTCTATGATCACAACCATCCCATCCCACATCACCATGGAAAATTTCAGTATATAAATCACCCGTTTTCCCATTAAAAAAAACACATGAAATCACCATGTGGTTGGTGGTTGAGCCTACCCCTCTGAAAAATATGAGTTCGTCAGTTGGGATGATAAAATTCCCAATATATGGAATTTCCTATTAATACTACCACCATTTTGGTTGGTGAATTCCCAATGAACCACCATGAATTCCCATTATGAAATTCCCAACTGAATGGAAATTCACAAAATTCAGTTGGGATTCCAAACAGTTATGGAAAAAATCAGTTAGAAATCACCATAAATCACCATTATTATTCCCATGTTCCAAACCACCAACCTGGGGCCATGTTTCTTGGGATCTCCCGAATATCCACCTTGATGTTTCACGTTCCGTCTCGCCAAGGAGCTGGGAGCCATGCAAAACCTGGAAACTTCAACACGCACCGTCTGACCCTCCAAGTACCCTCCGGTAAACTAACATAAATATGGAAAATCAGCATTTTCAATGGGTAAATGCACTATAAATGATCATTTTCAATAGCTATGTTAAATTACCAGGGGTAACCGTCAAAAAATGTGTCTTTTTAATGTGTTTTACCTCATAGTCTTAGTACGTTTGTGGACTTTTATCATTTTTGTTGGGGAATTTGGAGAGCTAAGGTAGCGAGAAGCAGCAGCTATCTGTTTGCACCAACATTTTACCAAAGGGACCAGTTGGGTTCTAAAATTCTGCGGAAATTTCCCAAGTCCTTTGGGTTCTCACCCAATTCACAAGACAACTGTTGGATACTGGGGTATAGCCCCTTTCTTGGAGAAACCAAAAACAATTTGGGCCAACAGTCGCCTGAGTTTATAATAGTTTATGCATGTATATACCATCTGCTGGCTCTTAGTGCCAAAACAACTTACTGGTGCTAAACGTAGGGAATTTTCGGGAATGATCCCAGTCATCACTGGCAACGATCATCCCAGCAACCCCCAGCAACCCATCCATTCCCTACGTAAAACGCACCAGTAAGACAAAGGTGTTTGGTTCAAAACCAGCTTTGTAAACCCCCCAAGTTATCAATGGCCATTCCAGGATCCTAAATTGGAGGTACCTACCATATATTTTTGGCCTATTTTTCAGGCCTAAATTTCAGGGAATATCCCCACAAAATATGGCCAAAAATATGGTACGTTTACGTACCTCCATGCATTGGATCCTGGAATGACCATTGAATTATAATTTCATTATATCACCATGTTTGTAGGTTGAATCAGCATTAGATCTGATTGAATCACCATTAAATACCATTAAAACACAATATGTTCCACTACAAATTGCCATTTTGGTGGTTAAATCACCATTAAATCACCATTGAAGTTATAGTTTGTTGCTTCACTTTCACCCCATGGACATTAGTTCGTGAAATATCCATCCCCCTACTTCTCAACCATCAAATTCACAGAAAAATGCGTCGCCGATCCATGATGTCCCAATTTCAAGCACCCCAATGGCGATAAAAACGCTTGTTTGCTCAGTATATCTGTGGGATTTTTCTTATCTATCTGGGTATGTTTTGAAATATTTCACTAACATTCACTAACCTGAATAGTTCGGCCATGAATGGGGATGATGTCCCTAACATCATGGATGTTCGAACCACAACCCAGTCGAGCCACCCCCCAGTGTAGGAATTTTTGATGTTTTTATTTTTCATCTTATTAGCTGTTATTAGCTGCTATTAGCTGCTATTAGCTGCTATTTGTACCCCATCTTATTAAGCACTATTTGCTTCAATTAGTGCACGAATAAAAAACGATGATTTTTTGGCAAAAAAAATGACACAAATAAGGCCATATCATGTTTTTTAAGAAGAAAAAAATAAGGCAAAATAAGGCTTTCAAATAAGGCAAAATAAGGTCTTCAAATAAGGGGGTAAAAGGTGGTCATCAGACTTAAAAAAATATACAATTTATGTTTTTTTTTTTATAGTCCAAACATTACAAAAAACATGTTTATTTTAATGTGTTATTTTTTATGATTAGAAAAAACATATAAACAATATTTTGCAAATTCGCGTAGTTGAAAAAAAAAACATGCTACACAAAATGCAACATAAAGTTTTTACTTTTACCATTCTCACATCAACCTTTCAAATCGCACATCGCTCATATATTTTTTCCAATTGCTGAAGGTGGCTAGGGGGTAGCAGGAGCTGGGCTGGTGATTGAGGTGTGAAGGGTATTGAGCTGGGAGTGGGGATGGTGGTGGTGCTGGGCCAGGCTAGGCCTAGTAATCCCTATTAGGCACTAATAAGCACTAATAGCTAATAGCTCCCTGGTGTAAACCCAGGAGGTGTGGTCTGAGCTAACTAGCTGGTGGCTGGGGGAGCCTGTACGGCTGGGCTGCTGGATTGGTGTGGGGTTGGGAGGTGGGCCAGGCTAGGCTTAGTAAGCACTATTAGGCACTAATAAGCACTAATAAGCTTTAATAAGTTCTTGGATTTGGACTATGAGGACTGGTGATAGGGCAGGGCTGGGCTGCTGGATTGGTGTGGGGACCCACTCCCAGCTCAGTACTCAACACTCCAGCCTCCCAATGCTGTGGTTGTGCCTGGCAGGAGGTAGCCAGCTCAGCTCAATTTATTAGTAGCTGGTAGTGCTTATTAATTCTTATTAATTCTTATTAGTTCTTATTCTCTTCCTACGGAATTTGTGTTTATCTAATTTTTGGATCATTACTGTGAAAAACCTTAATAGTAACTATTAAGTGTTATTAGTAATTTTGCCCGTTTTTTCTCCTGATTCGGATCTCGGGGATCATATCTCAGGCCGTGGCAACAGGAGACAACAGGGGAACACACAGCAGGAGAAAAACATCAGGGAAAAACAATTACTCTGAAAATCCTTAATAGTAACTATTAAGTGTTATTAGTAATTTTGTCCATTTTGCCCATTTTGGCTACGCTGCCTCGGGGGGTGGGCACATGTGGGCACATGTGGCCACCATGGCACCCGGGATGGGGAAATCATGGGTGTTCAAACCTGCAGAAGTCGGACTTTTAGATCAGTTGTGGGACTTAGAAACCTGGCGTTTGAGATTCTTCGAAAACAGAACAAGAGAACAGCAAAAGGAAAAAGATGCAAAAACAAAAATGTCACTTTTATGGTTTGTAATGCAGAAAAAAATCCTTTTGTAAGATATGGAAATTTAAAGTGTATGGTTGTGCCTGGCAATAGCTAAGCTTATTAGATCTTATGAGTTCATATTATTTTCCTAAGGAATATGTGTTCATCTAATCTTTTGGTCATTACTCTGAAAATCCTTAATAGTAACTATTAAGTGTTATTAGTAATTTTGCCCATTTTGCCCATTTTGGCTAAGGCCTGGCGTTTGAGATTCTTTGAAAACACAACAGGAGAACAGCAAAAGGAAAAAGATGCAAAAACAAAAATGTAATTTTTATGGTTTGTATACAGATTTATTTTTTCCACTTCACCAGCTCTAGCCATAAAGGCTTATCGTAATCATGATTAGTGCCTAATAACCTCTAATAGACTCTATGGCAATACCTGGGAGGTGGGACTGAGCTGGATTGGATTTGGCATTGGGTGGAAGAATACTTAGCATGGGAGTGCGAAGATGTTTGGGAGCTGGACCAGGCTCGGAAGAACAATATCTATTAGGCACTAATAAGCACTAATAAGCACTAATAAGCATTCAGAGCCTTTAGGGTCATGAGGTGGCTGTGCAAAACCACCAGGTGAAAGGGACTTGGCCAGGCTAGGTTTCTCAAGCCTGTTAGGCACTAATAAGCACTAATAGCTCCATGCTGTAAACCCAGAAAGTGGAGACTAGGCCAACTAGCTGGTGGCTGGGGAAGCCTGTAGGGCTGGGCTGCAGGATTGGTGTGGGTTGGGAGGTGGGCCAGGCTAGGCTTAGTAAGCACTATTAGGCACTAATAAGCACTAATAAGCTTTAATAAGTCCTAGGTGGCCCTCTCTCTCTCTCCCTCTCTCCTTTTTCTCCATCTCCCCCTCTCCCTCTCTCCCTCTCTCCCTCTCTCTCTTTTTCTCTCTCTCCCTCTTTCCCTCTCCCCTTCTAGGGAGAGGGGGAGAGAGGGGGAGAGAGGGGGAGAGGGAGGGGGAGAGGGGGAGAGGGGGAGAGGGAGAGAGGGAGAGAGGGAGAGAGGGGGAGAGGGAGAGAGGGAGAGAGAGAGAGAGGGAGAGAGGGAGAGAGAGAGGGATGGAGGGAGGGAGGGAGGGATGGAGGGAGAGGGAGCGAGGGAGAGAGGGAGACAGGGAGAGAGAGAGAGGGGGCTACCTCCCAGTCACCAGTCCCACTTCATAGTCCAAATCCAAGGACTTATTAAAGCTTATTAGTGCTTATTAGTGCCTAATAGTGCTTACTAAGCCTAGCCTGGCCCACCTCCCAACCCCACACCAATCCTGCAGCCCAGCCCTACAGGCTCCCCCAGCCACCAGCTAGTTGGCATAGTCTCCACTTTCTGGGTTTACAGCATGGAGCTATTAGTGCTTATTAGTGCCTAATAGGCTTGCTAAAGCTAGCCTGGCCAAGCCCTCCCGCCACTGTCCCACTCCCAGCTCAATACCCTTCTACCTCTACCTCCCAGCCCTGAGGGAGAGAGGGAGAGAGGGAGGGAGGGAGAGGGAGG